TGATAACTAAAGATCTATATAGAGGAATCAGGACCTCCTTCCTCCTGCTGGAGATCCCTCTAGTGATAACTAAAGATCTATATAGAGGAATCAGGACCTCCTTCCTCCTGCTGGAGATCCCTCTAGTGATAACTAAAGATCTATATAGAGGAATCAGGACCTCCTTCCTCCTGCTGGAGATCCCTCTAGTGATAACTAAAGATCTATATAGAGGAATCAGGACCTCCTTCCTCCTGCTGGAGATCCCTCTAGTGATAACTAAAGATCTATATAGAGGAATCAGGACCTCCTTCCTCCTGCTGGAGATCCCTCTAGTGATAACTAAAGATCTATATAGAGGAATCAGGACCTCCTTCCTCCTGCTGGAGATCCCTCTAGTGATAACTAAAGATCTATATAGAGGAATCAGGACCTCCTTCCTCCTGCTGGAGATCCCTCTAGTGATAACTAAAGATCTATATAGAGGAATCAGGACCTCCTTCCTCCTGCTGGAGATCCCTCTAGTGATAACTAAAGATCTATATAGAGGAATCAGGACCTCCTTCCTCCTGCTGGAGATCCCTCTAGTGATAACTAAAGATCTATATAGAGGAATCAGGACCTCCTTCCTCCTGCTGGAGATCCCTCTAGTGATAACTAAAGATCTATATAGAGGAATCAGGACCTCCTTCCTCCTGCTGGAGATCCCTCTAGTGATAACTAAAGATCTATATAGAGGAATCAGGACCTCCTTCCTCCTGCTGGAGATCCCTCTAGTGATAACTAAAGATCTATATAGAGGAATCAGGACCTCCTTCCTCCTGCTGGAGATCCCTCTAGTGATAACTAAAGATCTATATAGAGGAATCAGGACCTCCTTCCTCCTGCTGGAGATCCCTCTAGTGATAACTAAAGATCTATATAGAGGAATCAGGACCTCCTTCCTCCTGCTGGAGATCCCTCTAGTGATAACTAAAGATCTATATAGAGGAATCAGGACCTCCTTCCTCCTGCTGGAGATCCCTCTAGTGATAACTAAAGATCTATATAGAGGAATCAGGACCTCCTTCCTCCTGCTGGAGATCCCTCTAGTGATAACTAAAGATCTATATAGAGGAATCAGGACCTCCTTCCTCCTGCTGGAGATCCCTCTAGTGATAACTAAAGATCTATATAGAGGAATCAGGACCTCCTTCCTCCTGCTGGAGATCCCTCTAGTGATAACTAAAGATCTATATAGAGGAATCAGGACCTCCTTCCTCCTGCTGGAGATCCCTCTAGTGATAACTAAAGATCTATATAGAGGAATCAGGACCTCCTTCCTCCTGCTGGAGATCCCTCTAGTGATAACTAAAGATCTATATAGAGGAATCAGGACCTCCTTCCTCCTGCTGGAGATCCCTCTAGTGATAACTAAAGATCTATATAGAGGAATCAGGACCTCCTTCCTCCTGCTGGAGATCCCTCTAGTGATAACTAAAGATCTATATAGAGGAATCAGGACCTCCTTCCTCCTGCTGGAGATCCCTCTAGTGATAACTAAAGATCTATATAGAGGAATCAGGACCTCCTTCCTCCTGCTGGAGATCCCTCTAGTGATAACTAAAGATCTATATAGAGGAATCAGGACCTCCTTCCTCCTGCTGGAGATCCCTCTAGTGATAACTAAAGATCTATATAGAGGAATCAGGACCTCCTTCCTCCTGCTGGAGATCCCTCTAGTGATAACTAAAGATCTATATAGAGGAATCAGGACCTCCTTCCTCCTGCTGGAGATCCCTCTAGTGATAACTAAAGATCTATATAGAGGAATCAGGACCTCCTTCCTCCTGCTGGAGATCCCTCTAGTGATAACTAAAGATCTATATAGAGGAATCAGGACCTCCTTCCTCCTGCTGGAGATCCCTCTAGTGATAACTAAAGATCTATATAGAGGAATCAGGACCTCCTTCCTCCTGCTGGAGATCCCTCTAGTGATAACTAAAGATCTATATAGAGGAATCAGGACCTCCTTCCTCCTGCTGGAGATCCCTCTAGTGATAACTAAAGATCTATATAGAGGAATCAGGACCTCCTTCCTCCTGCTGGAGATCCCTCTAGTGATAACTAAAGATCTATATAGAGGAATCAGGACCTCCTTCCTCCTGCTGGAGATCCCTCTAGTGATAACTAAAGATCTATATAGAGGAATCAGGACCTCCTTCCTCCTGCTGGAGATCCCTCTAGTGATAACTAAAGATCTATATAGAGGAATCAGGACCTCCTTCCTCCTGCTGGAGATCCCTCTAGTGATAACTAAAGATCTATATAGAGGAATCAGGACCTCCTTCCTCCTGCTGGAGATCCCTCTAGTGATAACTAAAGATCTATATAGAGGAATCAGGACCTCCTTCCTCCTGCTGGAGATCCCTCTAGTGATAACTAAAGATCTATATAGAGGAATCAGGACCTCCTTCCTCCTGCTGGAGATCCCTCTAGTGATAACTAAAGATCTATATAGAGGAATCAGGACCTCCTTCCTCCTGCTGGAGATCCCTCTAGTGATAACTAAAGATCTATATAGAGGAATCAGAACCTCCTACTTCCTTCCTGCTGGGGATCCCCCTAGTGATAACTAAAGATCTATATATTTCTCCTTGCTGGAGCTCTGAGATGAGTAAGCAAAGATAGTGCAGAACAAGGCATGGTAAGCATTGGGGAAAAGATCAGCTGCAGGGAGACCACAGACAATACTGGTCATTGGCCCTCTGGCTGCCTTTTCTGGACACAGCTTCCATAGTTCAGTTCCATTTTAGGAGAGGAGTATCAGCTTTCCTTTTGCAGGTTATAAACCAAAGTCTGGTTGCTAAAGTCAATAGAAGTATTTCTTTCAGGTGATACATTTCTATACTAGTGATCCTTGCAAAGAATAATACAGCTTTCAATAATGCAGCATTCCAGGCAAAGAGTTAACTACATGATTGAAAAGTATACAGTACACAAGAACCGTTTTATCTGCCAAAGCTTCTGCGGCTGTTTATCCACTCCTGTAATCCACTCACCCTGTATAGAAAAAGTGCCAACACATTCCAAGCAAGATTGCTCCTTAACCGCTTCAGCTCTCGTACCTGTACACCCCTTTCACTATGGGCCGGTTTATTCAGCGATGACTTATCATTACTTAGGATAACACAGTAATATATACATTATTTATGTGGGAAAAACTAGGCTCTCTATTGCCAATATGAATTTGCACAAATTATTCTATTTTCTATATAATCTATAAACAAAAAAAGAAGAGGTAAAACAAACTTTATTCTAGAATTGTTCCCATTTTATAATGACGCCAAAATGATGTTTCTGGTACAAAGTACAGCAAAGTTATTTGTGAATGAAAAAGGGTTTTTTTTTTTTTTTTCAATTTCATGCATTGTTATGCAACACTCAAAACCATAACAAATACAATGAATGAAAATATAAAAATATATTAATAGTAAAAAAAAAAAAATAGAAACAATGATAACACAAGAAAAATAATATCTAAGGGAAGAGGAGGAGAAAGGAGTTAATAAGAGCTGATTAGGATTAACAAGGGGTTAAACTGGGAATATACAGTTGGGCAAAAAAGTAGTCAGCCACCAATTGTGCAAGTTCTCCCACTTAAAAAGAATTAGTTAAAAGGAAAAAAAAAGTAAGGTTTTTTTAAGTGATGTTGATGTATTTATTGTTTCATTCTTAAAGTGACATTAAAAGGATAAAAAATGTTTCCCTCCCCCCAATGTTAATGTCAGCACTTACCTTAAATAATGTCTCTTAATCCGATCTTCTTCTTTCCTGTCGTTTTCATCTGTCCCTCCAGCGGTGCGGCGGCTCTCCGATCCAGCGCTGACACCTCTCTGCTTGCAGGCACTTCCGATCCAGTGGTGTCTGCATGCGGGTGCACGCGTCCATAGACTTACCCTTGCGTCTTTGCTCATCTCCCGGCCTAGAGTCCGAACTGCGCATGCGCCCGCCCAAAGATCCTTTGCGGCTTCGGATTCTTGGACGGGAGCGCGCAGCGAAAACAAGGTAAGTTTAAACCGCTGTTAAACCGTTTTTAAAAAAAAAACTGTTTGCCTATATCTACTGCTTGATGGCGGTAGATATAGGCAAAAAAAAAAAAACGGAGGCTTTAGAACCCCTTTAAGTTGATCACTTTGATCTCCATATACATGAAATAGAAATATGTCACAATAAATTGATACATTGTATTTATTCAATGACACTTGCAGACTGCAAGTGTCATTTTACATAGGGGCTGCTGCATTTTGACAACTGCTCCTGCTGTGTAATACAAAAACAATTAGGGACTGTCATTTTGACAGCTTGTTATTGCAGCTAATAGCAGCTGGGGGAGTGGCAGCGTTCTGTCGAAAACTCCAATTTCCTGAGATCTCCAATGACGTCACGTCCGGTTGACTTGCCAGTAAGCATTTTGGGAGATGTGGCTTCAGTGCGCGTGTGCGCCGCCCACAGCATTTTCCTACTTGCCATAAGTTCGACAATGCTCTTCAGTATTATAACCAACTAAAATGACAGCAATCCAGCATGTTAGTAATCCGAGTTGCCCCACACAATATGGCCACCACAGTCAGGCTAGCATCCTCCTGCGCAAGTGCGGAAAGCACAATTAGAGAACTCGATAAGGCTTCTGAAGCCGTGCAGGTGCAATGAAGAGCATTGTCGAACTTGATAAGACTCAGGAAAATCCTACGGGTGGCGCACGTGCACCAGAGCCAAACCTCCCAAAATGCTTACTGGCAAGTCAACTGGACGTGACGTCATTGGAGATCTCAATAAAATTGAGTTTTCCCCAGAACAGCGGCAGGGGAAGAGGAATTCGACTTTAGATATCCATCCTAAAAACACTGCTGAAGTTTTTTTAGGACGTACCTCTAACGCTCTTAATCCTGAAGTGGTTAAAACATGATTATTTTACTCCATGATGAAACTTACTCTGCAGGTTTAATATTGAAATTGAACACCAAGTTCCAGGCACTTACCTGCGACGAAGAATATAATACTTCTTATTGAAAAACCTCTCAAATCTCTCTACGACGGTTGCATTGCGTCTACGTTCTGCTTCCTCGATTCTCCTCTGTCTACGCAGGTAGGTGATCACCAGAGGGTCCGTCATATTGATGTCATCTACCGTCCCTGATACAAGCGGCTGCAGTTCTGGCGGCAGGGGTGCGCTCTCTAGATGGCAAAGGAAAAAAAAAACACTCAGAGCACAAGCGGTCAGCCATGTGTTATGTGTAAATGGACAGCGCAAAATACAAAGCAATACAAAGGTTCCAATCGTAACCCAATCGTATCGTAAACCGAGCAGTGTACTGTAATGCCGCGGTCGGCAGCAGACAGTACACAATGGGGAACAATAGCCAGACTGCTATTGGCTATTTCAAATTGCAATAGCAGACTGGCTATTGAAACCCCGCCCACTAAGAGGAGTGGGCTCCTCTGCTCAATGGGCGGGTGCAATAGCCAGCTTGCTAATGGCTATTGAAATTTGAAATAGCCAATAGCAGTCTTGCTATTGCTCCCGCCTGTTTACATTCACTTGCCGGTTGCGGAAGCCGGCAGGTGAATGGAGAAGCGGAGCACCTCGGGGATGGTTGCTTGAGAGTTACTATTAACTCTCAAACAACCAGAAACTACAGTTATCTGGCACCTACTAATCCCATGGGTGCCGAATAACTGGGAGTAAACTCCATCGTGAATGTGAAAGAATGGAACTCGATCGATCGCAACCCGAGGAGCATCTGTATGTAGTTAAAGCAGTTTATTTCTTTCCAGCTAGCTTTTAAGAACTCCAGGATTTTTTAAAATTAACCCTTGCAGTGGGATAACACTCACACCTCAAGGGTTAACTGCTTGTTTGGGTCTTGAGGGGTGAAAATTAAGATATGATCACCATATCCATGGTCCCATCTGGCTGCCAGACCAGTCCCCACAGCCTATTCACTTCATCATGTCCAATACAGGTCCATCAGATGTTTAGATGCCAAAGGACATGCCACAGCCGGAGTGAAGGGGAAGAGAGGTGTGCGGTCACTGTTCTGTTTAAAAGTGTGCTGGGTATATTTTCTGTTTTGTATACTGTCCTGCCCATGTTCACCTTTTGCTAGTTTCAATCAGATCAGAGCAGCTGCCATATTTGCTTTTAGGATTAGACGCATACAGACACTGGAAGTCTTCAGCTGCCTTGTAAAGGTGATGTCTGGGTTTTTGGTTGTTACTGTACCTTTAAGGAGGATGGGGATGACTCTAGGTGAGCCCTGCGCTCTATGCTATATATGTCCCATAGCTGGGATTGTGTAGAGTTAGGTACCCCAGTTATCAGAGGTGACTGGCTGCATTCATTGTTCGGCCAGCAATTTCCAGCCTGGCTTCTTTGGCAAAAGCCGATTGCATAATGAACTTTTGTCGAGCCGGCAGGTCCAGCCACTGCCAGAATTTCAAGCGATTCCTGGGAACCAACCTAAGTTCTAACAGTGAATGGCCAGCTAAAGTTTAATGTGCTATTTGTTATTCAGACAGGTTAAGGCCTCATTCACGCATCACATCCTGCACGTACAGCTCCGTCATGTATGCACGGCCATATCGAGCAGCTCCCGGGAAGGACATGTGCTGCGTGTGATTAGTACGCAGCCCCCGTCCTTCTCAATGGGACTACGCGGCCGTACGCCCCCCTACGCTCACCTCAAGTGCAGGTCTGTAGGGGTGCGTGTTTCCTGGCTCAGACGCAGACAGGATCCATCCTGTCAGCATACGAGTACGGACACCAGCACGGGCGTGCAGCGCGGGTGAGCGTAGGGGGGCTCACGGCCGTGTAGTCCCATAGAGAAGGACGGGGGCTGCGTACTAATTACAAACAGCACCTGTCCTTCCCGGGAGCTGCTCGGTATGGCCGTGCACGGAGCATGGAGCTGGACGTGCCGGCCGATTCCAGTGTGAATGAGGGCTTAAAGTAATGCCGCCTCCCACACCGCTTGGGTGCTTATATCAGCCTTTCCCAACCAGTTTGACGTGGCACCCTGGGGTTCCTCCTGGCTTCCTCAGGGGTGCCTCAAATTTTTCACACAGTGTTATGCCTTTGATGTGAAAGAGAGAGACTCTGATGTGAAAGTGGGGGGTTGTGATGTAAAGGGGGCTCCCACTGTGAAGAAGGGACCTTGATTTAAAGGGTTTTGTGTTTTTGCATTGGGTCCCCCCTTAAAATTCATACCAGACCCCTATCTTGGATAATGTTCTGAGATGGAAGGGGGGGGGGTCCAAGCGTCCAATTGAATTGTATTCAATGAATGGGATTTGCTTTCTTCTGACTGGTTCACTGCAAAGACATTTATTCCCCATAACAACTTACCGCTGCCATTCTCCACTCTCTCTTTTAGCTCCTGCAGGCGGGTGAGGTTCTTTTCCAGGGTCACAGCTGTAGTGTTCACATACAGATACATGTAACATGAGGGGCCCGGGGACACTGTGAACACTTTGTGGTACTCCCCACCTGGCAGCTGAAACACAGAAATAGATTGCTTAACATCAGGGTGTAAAAATGAACATTAATGCCCATAGGCAAAATGAAAATGCCATCCCTCAACTATTTCTAATTTTATAGAGCATACGAGTGTGAGCATAGTGCATGGGAGTGTGCATGCACAGAGCAGGGGTGGGCAACTTTGGCCCTCCAGCTGTTGTTTGACTACAAGTCCCATGAGGCATTGTAACACTGTGACAGTCACGACTCCCAGAGGCAGAGGCATAATGGAATTTATAGGTAAAGTACAGCAGGAGGGACAGAGTTGCCCACCCCTGGCATAGAGCGTTGGAGTGTGTGAGTGTGTGCATATACCAAAGAGTGTTTGTTCAAGGAAAAAAAGTTTCCATTTTGCTCCTTTGTTTTTTTCATGACTATGGTTGAAAGTGAATGTCAATGGACCCTAATAAAAAATAATAAATGGAACGAAGATTTTGAAACATTTCAATTTTGTTTTTTTAGCAAACTTCTACTGGTATGTGTCCAGCTTTCCAGTGAAGGGGATGAACTCTGTGCTCCATGAGCCCCTGTATTACCTGCATTTGGTCTCCTTCCTTCAGGGTGAAATTCTTTGCCTCCTTCACAAGCTCCACATTGACCTCCCCCTGCAGTACTTGTATGCTGGTGTTGCTTAGGTCTTCATGCAGGAAATTCTCCAAGTAAAGACCTGAGAAGGACACAGGAGAAGAAAATCAGGTCAAGGTAGAGATAATTAAATGGAGTAATCCACTTCTGTCCAGCTGGTAGGGCCACACACACAGTGCTAGAACTTCTCCTGGTTTCTGTGAATTGGCCCGAAATTCTAACAGTATATGGCCAACTTATGTGGAATGGGCAGTATTATTATTACGTAGTATTTACATAGCGCCAACAATTTGCGCAGCGCTTTACAATATAAGGAAGACGTTACAATCACAATACAATACAGTAAACAGAGGAAGAGAAAAGGTATAAAAGTCAATGCAACAATAAACAGACTAAGAACCGTCGTCCTTACCAGGGAAGTCTGCTATGAAGACCACATCCGTCTGATTGTCCAGAGAGCTCTCGATCTCCTGGAATTTGGATCTCCATGGTGACAGGTCAATTAGTAATGGTTGTACCCAGGGTGTTTTACGGAATGGTGACCAGTCGGCCTTCACTATGTCCACCGTGGGATCGTAGAGCCTGGTAGAGCAGCAGATGGGCATCATCAGTACATGTAAGGCAATGCAGAACAGAGGAAGTCATTGAGAAACACTGCAGAAAAAACACGCATGTGATGAAAGTAACACCAGTACAGTCCATGACTCCTAACGGGCCACTACATGGGATGAAATACAAATAATAACCCGAGACCAAATATAGCTCCAGCATTATTCATACAATGACCACAGACTCTATGCATGGATTATATTTATGATTTTTAGCTTTAAACAAAGTGGTTAAGGGTTGGAACCCTCATCAGTTTTTTTTACTGCTACCCGGGGGGGTTCCATTAGAGTTCCCCTCACTTCCTGTCCAGCCGATAATATTTTACCAGACAAGTGAGGGGAATGCTCGAAGGGCAATGATAGGCAGAAATAAAGATTGTTTAGTAGCGTAGGGGAAGGTTAGAAGCCATGTCGGATTTTGATTTGTAGAACAAGTAGAGATGCTGGATTTAAGTATCAGATCGGTCAGATCATAATAAAAGCACATTGGCTTTGATACACCCAACAAAAACAGGACGTCCCTCAAACAAGGGGCTCAGATCTGAAGATTCAAGTGAATAATCTGATCAAAGAGCCAAACGAACAGTCCAAGAACTTTGAATATTGGTATACAAACGACAACATAGATCAACCAATTCCTTCTGTGGATCTTTTAGAGATTTCAGTAGGGATGCACAGATACCGATACTGGTATCAGTGCCGATACTGAGAATTTGGGTGAGTGCGCATCCAAATGCTCAGATACGTACCCAGATACCGGAACTGTTGGTCAGAGGGAGATTCCCTCTGACCAGATGGGATGAGAGGGAGCATGGAGCCAGGGCCGGATTTACTCTCCCTGCCGCCCCAAGGCCAGGTCCTGTGATGCGCCCCCCCCCTTTCCCATCAATGGAGAATGGCAACCAGATGGCAGGGCGGTGGGGTTAGTGTCAATTTTTTTTTTTACTGTTTCTTAATTTTTTTTTACTTTATCACTTATTTTTTTATTTAATTATTCTTATTTTTTTTAATTTTTATTTATTAATTATTTTTTTTTAATCCATGTAGTCTGCCTCACTCTACATTCAGTCCCGCTTGTACAAAGCAGGACTGAATGTAGAGAGGGCAACTTCCGCAGAAGGACACCGCTGCCGCCCCTCTGCTCCCCGATGCCAGGTTGGCCTTGTGGGGAATCCGGGCCTGCATGGAGCACAGGGTCCAAGCTCAGATCCAGAATGCAATACTCCAGAAATTGTCCTTCTCAGTGACAGCTACTTACAAACAAAGCCATGTGATCAGCACATCATAGCCAACATTGTAATCTCCTAATTGGGAACCGCCATGATGGGCTTCCAATGGCTAGCCTGCCCAGGCAACTGTTAGTGACATCATAAGCAAGTAATGAGCAGTACGAAGGAGTGTGTGCTGCTCATTCCAAAATGAAAGTTAGATGAATGCTCCCTCTTCACGGAGTATCATGCACGGGAATGGTAATCTACATATTGCAGACACAAAGGGGTGAATGTCACATTTGCAGAGTCATTGTTATTGTATATATCGTGAGATCTCATCCGCTTATAATGAACATCAGTTGTTATACTACTCGTCATGCGGCCAGATGTAGTAGTGCAGAAAACAAACAGTCCGGCCTCCTAGAATAAACACACCAATCATTCAGGGCCAAAATATTTAAAATGCTTTCATGAGATGAAAGGACTCGGTCAAAAATCTATTAACTGTAATAGACAAAGTCGGAACACTACATATTATAATCCACTTCATAACAGGAAACCATAATGGGCTGAGCACAGGGGTCCGAGCACAGGGGTCTGACCACAGGGGTCCGAGTACAGGGCCCAAGCGCAGTATCAGCAGAGGATCCTACCACAGGACTAAGTACAGAGTCTTAGCACAGGACTCAGACCCTGAGCTGAGCCGTGTGCTCGTACCCAATGCTCGGCCCTTTGCTGAACACAGACACAAATAAAAATGTGAAGATTCATGTACATAAAGTGAAAAAAGCAATACCGGCGCCCCCCGGTTTGCAGAGAAATCCGGCTGTAAAGTTCATTGGTACACCATAGAGGCAGCTCCCACCAGACAACAACGAGGTTCTGATGAAGGGGGCGTGCCCCTGAAAAGCGTAGACCTTTTAAAAAAACATACGGGAGCAGAGGACGCTGATTTGGAGATCCCCTCAGACTTCCCCTGCTGGAGATTTTATATTTTATCGTTTCCTTTTACGCTTATGATCATTAGCTTTCGTGTAAGTACATTTTCACTTGCGTGTTGTACTCATCAAATAAAAGTTTTACACTATGGATCCGCTCTGTGTTGCTTTTGTTTCCCATGTACATAAAGTCTAATAAAGAGTCCAAAAGCATTTTATTCTAAATCTGTAGCAAAGAAGGAATATGGAGGAAGGCAGATCTGCCCATTTATATGCATACTGCTGAAATTGATAAATAAATATCCATGACGCTTTGATCTAAACTAAAATATGCCCCCTGGAAAAAGATTGCAAATGGCTTGTGTATTAACATGGATGGATACCACCGAAAGGGGTCAGGTTAGCAGTGACATTGATAAATAGATGAATGCCTGAGGGTCATTAGTCCATGGGACAGTCCGGTCCCCCTGGTGGTATTTACTGCTCACACCTGCGTCCATCCTGCACCAAAACGTAACTCAGAAACTGGGACAGTAATGACATTTTATGACCTCTTGGTCCCTCTTCATTTCCCTCGTAACCAGAGTATAGCCCTATGTGTAATAAAACCTAAAGATATAAAATATATATATATATATATATGTATGTGTAATAAAACTTTGTGTATAGCCCTATGTGTAATAAGACTTTGTGTATAGTCCTATGTTAAATAAGACTTTGTGTATAGCCCTATGTGTAATAAGACTTTATGCAGGGCTCAACATTTCAAGTCCTAAGCTACTAGCCAGGCCTGAAAAGTTACTCGCCACCAGTTGCCCCACCTAACCCCTACCCTGCCCCGGAACACCGCTGAACGATCCCTCTCTCTTCTCCCGACCGCTCCAGGAAGCGGGCACAGAGAGGCGGCTATGATCACACCTGTCAGCGTTCCCTCTCTCTGCACCCGGCCGCTGCAGCTTCAGAGCGGCCAGAAGGAGAGAGGGAGCAATAACGGGTGTAATCAGAGCCGCCTCTCTGAGTGGAGCTGAAGCTGCCGGGACGAAAGAGAGTGAGCGCAGAGAGCTAGCTGCGGCTCTGGATTGATCACTACCGCCGCGGCACTCGCTCGCTCGCTTCTGTTTTCTCTTCTCCTTCTCGGGCTCGGCCGCTCTGTAGCTGCAGCCGGCGAGAAAGAGAAGAGAAAACAGAAGAGAGCGAGCGATCTCCGCGGCGGTAGTGTCCCATCCCTAGTCCCGCCGGCGAGGCAACATTGCTGACATTCCACTCGCCACCCCCCGCAATTTTCACTCGCCAATTGCGAGGGGGCGAGTGGAAATTTTGAGGCCTGCTTTATGTATAGTCCTATGTGTAATAAGACTTTATGTATAGTCCTATGTGTACTAAGACTTTATGTATAGTCCTATGTGTAATAAGACTTTATGTATAGTCCTATGTGTAATAAGACTTTATGTATAGTCCTATGTGTTATTGGACTTTGTGTATAGTCCTATGTGTAATAAGACTTTGTGTATAGTCCTATGTGTAAAAAAAACTTATTTTTAGATTCGGTTGTCCATCAATAAAATCAAGGCACCCCAAACAGAGCGCATTCGCACATGAATAGACAATTAATGGTCACGCTGAAAGTACAGACCCAGTACTTCTATATGAGGCTGCAAGGTACTCACCTCTGCTGGAAGCGATCATTGATAGACACCCACACATCAAAGTATATCTCGGGCTCAGAGATGTTATATGCCCCCAGAAGGCCATGCAGGCAGGTGGCGTACTGCTTCAGCATATCCCCGTGATCCTTCCAGCGCCGCGTCTGTGTGAACACCTGAAAAATGACACAAGATGGTCAAGACTTTCACACTCTCATCTGCAAAAGCTGCGGCAAACAAAAAGTAAACTGTTGACTGTAGCAGCAAAATTTAGGGACTGTTTGACTACTTTAGCCTGCAGGATATCACAAATAGAAAAGTTATGCTTTTACATGAAATAAAACTATGCAAAATGTTATCACTGAGGAATGACAGAAAACATCAGCATAGAATTACCCCAGGGATCCAGCTCTGCACACACTATAAAAGGGACATAACAATCCAGATACACCCCCGGAACCGTGTATGGCTTATTAGCGGAACCTCTGGGGATGATTACAGATTCAGTTCCTTAACCATTTAGGTACAATAAAAGCTTAAAGCTGAACTCCAGGTATAAATATTTATATACAGTATAGTTAGATTGGTCTAATGTAAATATATGTTTTATGCCTGGTATGGCCACAAGGATCCTGTATAGCACTGACGTAGCCAAAGCTACTACAGAACTGGTCGTGATCTTCCAGGGCTTGTATGGCGCTGTGCCAAGCAACTTTCCCTTTGCTGTGAAAACAATGTGGGGGAGGCAAGTTGCTCGCTCGGCACAGCGGCCGTTCAGAGAACACCTAGTATTTGCATCAATAATTACAAGGTGTTCTCGGATAGGAGGAGGGGCGGTGATGTCATGGCCTAACCCTCGCCTAATCAGAGATCGCTTTTTATCGATTGATAAAAATACTCGGTGTTCTTTGAATGGCCGCTGTGACGAGCGAGCACCCCCGTGCCGACTAGGTTCCTGATAGATAAGTCACCCCAGCTATGGCTCACTGTCTATCCTGCAAAACAAAAACGGAGTGTAACTTCTGGTGAAAAGAAAAGCTAACCGAGCAACAGGGATAATTCTTATTCCAAACACTATGGAGTATGAACTGGAGAGTTCTCCATAACTGCAGTTAGAAGTGTTAAGCGGGAAAGCTGAAGATGGCTAAATATACACGCAGGCGTGACCTTCAAAAGCCAGATGTACTTCTTGGCATGCAACACCTTCCTTGAATCTGCTATCTGAGAGACCCACCACAGGAAGTTTGTTGGGTTTTATATAAACAGAAGTGTGGCCCTTAGCCAAGCTGAAAGTCACAATCCAGGGTAGGAAGTGTCCACGGGGAGAATCAGACCAGAGACAGTACACACATGGACCGGCCAGCACAATTCCGATGGCTTGTCACTTGTGCTCACCATCTCTGTACGTTGTGTTGGCTTGGACAATTGGGGGGGGGCTTGTAGTGACCACGGGTGTAACTCAAATGAAGAAATAAAGTCACCGGCACACCAAATAGTAATTTAGCAATAGTCCATTTACCGACACATTGCCATTCAATGAAAGCGCTTTCGGGGGCCTCAAGGGGTCCCCTTGAGGCCCCGAAAGCATCATTCTGAGCCTGATGAAGGGGACCCCTTGAGGCCCCGAAAGCGCTTTCATTGAATGGCAATGTGTCGGTAAATGGACTATTGCTAAATTACTATTTGGTGTGCCGGTGACTTTATTTCTTCATTTATAAATGCCTTCACCCAGGATTGACACTTTAAGTGGATTCAATTGGAACGTGTGTGAATTCTGGGTGAAAACATTTATAAATAGACCCCTTTGTGTTGTATTGGCTTCTTCTTGAAAGGGCCTGGCGGCACATCTTAGCACATGAAGAAATGAACACTATCCTGCAGGTGAGTTGTGATGCGTCCTGGGTGTGTTGCCCACCATCTTCCTGGCAGAAAGATCCTGCGTAGGTATCAGTATTTTATTACACCTGTGTGCATGAACCCCATACTATGCTTTCCAGATCAAGTTCTCCTGCATTCAGGTGCACTTGCACCTAAATGCATTTAGACATGTTCCCTGCACATACAGAATTCCATTTTATCTAAACGCAGCTAAACTGAACACATGTAAATGTAGATAAACGCACAGAATGAATACCATTTCCATTCATTTAGACGTATTCAGAGTATCTAGTCTGCCCCTGGACGCACTGAATTCCATTGTCTCTAAATGCACACCGTGAATTATACAATTTCCATTCATTAAATGCATTTATGTGTGTTTCACAATGTCCTAAAAAGCATGTATGTCACTGCCAGTGTGAATGAGGCCTTACAGGGACATGGATGCCATAGAAGTATCTTTTACCATAGTAAAGGTTGTTGTTTTACTACAGTTACCATAGAGTCGTGTGACGACCATTTGGATTCAGATGGTTCCTAACAGAGGTCCTCTTTATATACCAGGTTCAAATGTATTAATACAGACAGGTACACCTCGACTACTTAGGTGGCACGTAATTCCCCTTGAATGCTGCGTATGATAAACAAATGGCTGTAATTGCGGTTATGTAGCCAAGGTACGTCACATTACAGAAATATATTTAAACCCACAGACTGCTATTCATTCCTGACATGGGTCATATCAGATAAAGAATTCAGAAGATTGTGGTTTTATTCCAGCACGGGTTGCAGCCAGTCACTCACCCCAGGATTAAGATATCCAAGCTCTCCTGTGACACCGTCTTTATAGGTAACTTTCACATGCTGGTGAGAGCGGGAATGTACCATCATATCCCAGGAGTAACCATACAGGCCGTTCGTCCAGTTATTGTAGCCCTGAGGAGAGAGATACAGACTGTAATTATGCAATATATTATTTTCATTTGTTACATAGTATTTGAGGTTGAAAAAAGACACAGGTCCAACAAGTTCAACGTATGTGTGCGTGCGTGCGTAAAAGTACCCCTGTATGTTATGGTCTCTTAGGAAGGTATCTAATTGATATTTGAACGGATCAATATTCTTTGCAGGTACCACTGCTTGTGGTAGAGACTTCCAAAATGTATTCGCTCTAACAGAAAAGAATCCCCTACGCCCTTTGTGGATAAATCTTTTCTCTACCAGTTTTAGGTGGTGGCCTCTAGTCCTTGTTAGGGGGTTGCCATCACCACTGAACATTTTGTACAACAAAATCATGTCCCCTCTTAATCGCCTCACTTCCAGCGTGAACAAGTTTAAATTTAGTAACCTCTTCTCATAGCTTTGGTCCTCTAGTCACTGAATTAGTTTGGTTGCTCTTCTTTGGACCTTCTCCAGCTCAAGGACATCCTTTCTGTGGACTGTTGACCAAAACTGAACCTTGAGGCTGGTTCAGCCTCAAGATGGAGGCCGAACCAGTGATCTGTAAAGTGCCGAAATGATTGCTTTGTCTCTACAGTACATTCCCTTTTTAATACAAGACAGTAGGGAGGTTCAGATACCAAGTACAGTACTCGGTACAAGTACAGATACTTTTCCAGCTCCAGGACTAGACTAGAGAAAAATTCAGTTAGGAGGCAGCTGTCATTTGTAAGGAGCACACGGAGCTCCTGGGATTTGTACATCTCTGTTTTAATCCATTATTTGTTTTTATAAAGATACACACTGAGTGGCCAGATTATTATGACCACCCCATCAGTACTTCGTTGGGCCACGAGATAACTCCACCAGATGACTTCATTGGGCCGCCTCGCGACTCCGCGAGATGTTGAAAGGTGATGCAAGGAATCTGACACTGCACTGTTGCCCTTCTGTTGTCTTGTGTCAAATATATAATACGATTATATGTTTGACACATGTTGTTTGGGCACGAGATAGCCCTGAATTATAGAGTGGCCTGGACATATTGAGGTTGATCCTTTATTCATTTGTTCACAACCAATCACGGTTGGGTTATTAGCAGTTACAATATTAGACACATACATGGATTTAGGCCATCACGAAGTTAATTTTATTTCACATACTTGTCGCTTATATGATTAGTGCTGCACACCTGGTAAAATCAAGTATTACACCTCATTTCACTAACCCTAAACTTAATGAGCATTTACGGGGCCCCCCACACCGCAAGGGTAGTTTTTCCTGCCTGGAGTGGGGCTTTAAATCTCTACTGCTGTAGTAAAGCAAAAAAAGGGTACTGTGACTGA